AAAAAAAAATCAATCATAACTTGGTAAAGAAATTCTAATCATGTGTAAATTGACAATTTTCTTTCATTCTTAAAATCTTTCTAATTGGCATGAAACAAATGTTCAAATTTTCTAATTGATAGTATACTATGATAAATTTGACATGTTGGATCAATACATTCAACACCATTAGTTAATTTTGCACACTTATCACGTCGGTCACTACGAGTATCATCAAATTTGCATGCTGTATCTGAACATGTACCAGCTGTATAACGATCTGTCAGAAAACTTCAAATACATAAATGTATGCAAAATTAGAAAAAAAAATATGCAAACAAGTTCTGTACTGTTGACAAGTATCACAATATAATTGTTCAACGTTATTATTGAAGCCATCTATAAATTTTTTTATATAAATCAAAATGCTTTTGTTCCAATTGCTGTACCATATTCATCAGTACCACGAATATATAAAGTATTGTAATTTTTCAACCGACAATACCTTAAACTTAATATTAACAATGAAAAAATGGATAAGAAATCGTTTGATTTTTACCGAGCAACAAAACATTAGCATTTAACAAAGATCTAGTAAGAATATTCAAATGAGATACATTGTTGACAAAAAGTAAAGTACGTGTCATCAGGGCACTTCGTACGGGATTAAAGTGTGAAACATGATGTTGTTACTGTTGTTAATCACAAGGAGATTGTTTTATTCAGTCTAATTTAGAAGAGATTTCTTCATCATTCTGTTACTTGATGCTCCAGAAATGCAATAAGGAAGTAGTTAATTAGACGGAATTGAGACACAGTCTTCGATTGTATATTAACAAAGGATGTCACTATCCCTTATAAAACGGAGAGACGAGTAAGTTTATAGCACATATATCTTAAAAACACATTTGTGCAGCTAAAAGCCTTCTCCATCAGGATTAGTACGCGCGAAGGCCTCGGTCAAAACTAAATTTCTCGTATCTGTTCAAAGGTTTTGAGAGAAACTTTTATTGGATAGAGCAAAATGAGATATCTCCGACCTCTTCATAAACTTCCTTCATCGAACTGTCTTTCAGGCTCTCCGTAAATCGAAAACAAGTCGATGAAGGAAGTACATGGAGAAATTGATGACATCCTGTTTTGCTCTAGCAAATAAAATTTTTTCTGAAGATTTTAATCCAAGTAATTTTGTTGAAGTCTTTGAACCTACTACTATTTATAGAAAATTGTTTCAGTTACGCAAATGTTTTATATTTCAACAAGAGATAAATCATTTCTTACATATTTTCATTCGATTTTGATTCATTGAGTATCGATAGTCTCTTTGATCATTGATTCAAAGTTTTCTCAACTTCTTCTGACGATCGATTAAAATCAATTTCTTCAACGGATGCTTCTACAGTAGTCTAAAGTTTTTCATATACTATAAAAGATGAGTCATTCATTTGTCATAAAAATGCATTGTTTTCTTCTTTCATTTATCAGTTCTTATTTTGCATCACACCTGATCACTACGCAAAGAAAAAAAAATACTACAAACAAAAATAGTATTCCAGAAGATTATTCCGAAAAGTAGATTAATCATCGACAAGAAACAAAAAAGGATAATAACATATCAAGTTTTCTGTTTTGAGAAAACAAAGATAGTCATTTCTTTATCAGTTTATACATTCATGGTAAAAGTATAGAAATCAAATGAAAGACTTAAAAGTAATTTTCAACGAACTTACGTTCTTGAATGAATTGTATAAATGATGACGAATCCTAATGACGAACAGTTTCGTAAATGGATTCTAAAAAAAGAGATAAATGAAGTCGAAATTGAAAAAATATTGTTAAATTTTTTTGGCAAATGGACATATCAATCAAAATAGAACGAATAAAAATTCAACTGGAAACAACAATATGTTTTTCGAGTGAGATGATGTTCATTCAATGAGTAATAGAAAAGTTTAGAATGGTTTTGCTTTCCGGGCTTTCTTTACTTTTCAACAGAAATCTGTAGTCCTACTCAGGTCACATGAAAAATCGACTTTCGAATTCAAATTTTGCATGAACATGAAATTAATTCTTGGGACAAGTTGTAACTTTTCTAGTTCTTTTTTTCCTATCCTGAAATATCGAATATTCGATATTTTCCACATTAACGAATCTCGTTAAGAATTTTGTTCGCGCAAAGTTTAAAGTCAAAATTCTATTTTCTAGATGATTTGAGGCGGACTACATGTTTATATGCTGAAAGATTCAATAAAATTTCGATATTTGGAGAACGAAGGTTTAGAATAACAATACTTCGACAGTCAACTTTTCTTATTCTCATCTGATGTTTGTCCTTCGATAGATGGTAAAAGTTTTTGATAAGATTTTATTTAAAAATTGATCTTGTCTTTTTAATATGTAAACTAAAAAGTAAGAAAAATTTTGATGATGTCTTGAATAATGCTCGGTAACTCACGTTATTGAAGACTTATATTGAACATCCAGTTATATATTGCTTTTGCAGATTGCAACTGTCCAAAATGAGGAAAACAGCTTCGCGATAGCACGTAACTTGAAGCGTTTTTTCTTCGTGGGCAACCATAGATCAGGATCACTAAATTCATATTTTAGAAAACTAAAATTTGTCAAAATCAGAACCTCTACTGTAAAGGCTTACAAAAAATTGATCCTTCCTGTTTTAGATATTTAATAGAGAAAATAGTGAATTTCGAAAATATAGTTTATTAGAATTTCAGGTCATTTTGTTTTGAAAATCTGTACTGATGAGTTATTTCTAATTCAAACTTTCTGTAAGATAAACAGATGTTTGAAACAACCCCAAACTGGAATCAATACAAAACTTTCATGGGGCTCATTTTTTCTTTTATTTTAGCTAAAACTTATTCAACTCAAAACCTAACTTTATATCATGAAGTTAGTTCTATAAAATCCTTTATCTAATTACATATTCACATAGCAGAAAAAAAAAGACTGAAATTCTATGACACGATAAATTTACACAAATTATGAATGACGAAAATACTGATTTTGTTCTGTACAAACATCAATTAATGCAAGTTTAACTCAGCAATACATAAAGGAATAATTAGTATCAAGACTTTTGTACTCTATGTTATCTCGATAACTTTAGAGATGATTATAGAATTCTACACAATTGTATGAATTGTTCATCTATTAAATTTCTATTTGGGCTTCAATAAATTTAGTTTTGAATTACTTTAAAAGTAATTTAGTAGAAGTCACTTTTACTTTCCTCATAGCTACGCCCATTGAACCAAAGAATAGTTTTTATTTCGTTCGTTTTTTCCATGATTTAATATATCACTACAGTCACAACAAAAAAACAAACCAGTCAGGATATTTGGTCACCATGCTATCTCATAAGCTGAATAAAACAAGCTTCACATGTTAATTATTCGAAATGTAATCAATATCAATAGATAGACAATAAGAAAGAATAAATAATATATTTGAAAGTTTTGACTTGATGATAAACGTATTCGTCATTTAATAATTGTCAATCCAGCTGGAATAAATAATCTTTCTATTGAAGCACTAGTCTTTATGAGCACACGCATTTCCGATTTCTTTCAGTTGTTCAATAAGTCGAAATTTTCTGAATGTATTAGTTTAATTATGAAAAATTCTCATTTGAAATACTTACTTGTCTTCATAATAAACTCATTTGTTTACTTGAATCGAAACTATTCGACCATTCATCTTCTAATAAATGAATTGGACAATTAATGTTTTTTTGTTAAATGTTTATTAGGTTCTGGATTGAATAAAAAAAGCTCCACTTACTCGTTTCTTTGCTTTATGAAGACAACTACAATTTAGTCAAATATAGACATATTTATTCAATGTTAATTAATTTAAAAAAAAAGAAAATGTTCAAAACGTTTAAATGCTAAATCTAATAAATTTGGACGGCTAGTTGAACGTCAATCTGAATCAATGTCTGAATTTTCAAGTAATGTTTGAATAAGTGAAGACTAAAATAAAAATTGTACACTATGAGAATCGCTTTAGCTAACTGATAAAGTTCATTGATTTTATTATTTCTATGATAATGAGTACTATTCGATAATGTTGAAATCGATGATAATGAATATATGTGTATGACCATCAATTGAACAAAGTATTCCAAATTGTTCAATTTCTTGAATTAGAAAAATTCTATATAAATAAAAATAGAGATTGTGTCAGTGCAGCTCGTTGAGGACTGTAATGTAGAACTCACATGTGTTCTTTAGTCTCATTATACTCCTCCCAAACACTTGAAGTGAAAAATTCTTACCAGATTATAAATGAATACATGAGAAATCAAATTTTATCCGTTTTTGTTTTTGAAGTTAATATGATTTTCATATTTTTTTCATCTTTGACTTTCTTTACTTTTTTCGGATGAGTTTCTTTCACCATTTCCTGTAAAGTGTGTGGGTATGGGTTTTTGTCTAGAGAAAACTACTCCACTGTTGAATCGTATCACATCTAAAAACTTCTTCAATATTCGTTTTCTTTTTATTTATACACTTAAAGTCATACAATATTTAACTATATAACCTTTACTGTCAGTTGAGATAACTGATTTTCTCATAGTTCTCGATAGAGCTCGTTGAGTATGGGTCTGATCTCTCATAGTTACTACTTTTAAAGTAAAAGTCTATAATGACCGCATTCATAAATGATCACCATCAGGATGCCATGAGAAATGTGAAATAGATTCTAATGAAAATATGATGAGTAAGAATTCAGCAAACATCTAAATTTTGTGTCGCGTGCCTCTAAAACTTACACTTATTCGATTTTTCTTCGAAAAGAAAGACGTAATGTGAGTTCCACAAAAAACAAAAACAGTCAATAATTTTATCATCAATTGTTAATGATGATGGATTAATATCAAATAAACTTTGAATATTCCCCAATTAAATAAGTGGAATATATTTTCATACCGAATGCTTTTCACATATATTCAAGACAATCGGAGAAAAGAAAACGAGTTAAATGTAGTTGTATTGTTGTTAATTCTTGTTGAAGTTCAATAACTTGAAATTTTTTTATATAATCATGATGTGAAGCAAGAAACTCTGACTAAAATTTAACGACAATAAAACGTATTTAATACTGTCGGAATCGTTTTCTTACTCGACAATTATCAATAATATGAACAATATTAACCATTGATAAATGTTTTTCCGTTTTTCTACTTTGTTCATTTAATTTTTTTTTTGCTATTTCACGTAATTTATCCAATGAATCAATTAATAATTGATAATCAATATGTGTTACTGATGTATATTTAAGTAAACGTCAAATACGTCGTATCATTAAATACAGCTCAATATTGTTCACCTAATTCAATGTTATGTTCACTAATCTATTCGCAATAATTTTTATTTTTTACATTATCTATTCAATGACATAAAATTACCTTAAGAAAACAAAATAAAAGTTATATGAAAAATAATATTGGAATTGATTACAAAAAAATAGTTCATTCGAAAATGAAAGTAACGATCTGTATAGATGAGTTAATGTAATACAAGAAAATTCAACTAGTCCACCACTGTTGCAATTAAAATCCAATAAGTATCCGACTCCAATCGGATCACAAGAATTTTGACCTATGTCGCACGCTACTGTACAATATAAATGATTTGTTCAGTACGAGGCTGCCAGATCTTCCGAATTTTGAATATTTTTTCGTGACCTGTTATTTCTCTAGATTCGAGATTTAATGACTTTGGTTATAACTTCTAATTTAACTTTCACTAGCAATTCATGCGCTGTCGTTGTTCTACTGTAATCATTCCATAATACAATTTTGAGACTATTTATAATGTAAGATCGTTTGAATTTAAAATCTATCCGAACTCAATGAATACTTTGTGTTGTTTAAAAAAAATGTCATTTGAATCAATAACTTCTTTGACATGGACTGAATTTTAAGTTTAGAAAAGTATTATTTTACATGAAAATTGTCTCTTGTTATCCTGAATTAAATTCAGCCATGAATGATGAAGATGATGATTCAGATGTGAATTTAAGTGAGATTGAAGAAAGAAATAAGTATATCGGCAACAATTTTTGCACAAAATGTTGATAGAGCAACACATATGTCCATAAAAAAAGGTGGTATATATATTTGATAGTAAAACAACTGTTTTCCGAACTTTTTCCGAAGTAGAATATAAAAAATTCCGAATTTTTTCAAATTTTGGTTAAAACATTTCGATTTCTAACTTTTCGATCTGGCAACCCTGGTTTAGTACGAGAAGAATTCCATAATAGTCTATGAAAATTGAAATACGTGAAAGATATCAAATCTCGTTACACTCGATAATTTTCTTCTAATGATTTTATTCGACTGATAAACAAGCAGAAAAAGATTTATGCTTTCTTTTTCAAAACTATTGTTTAATTGCTGAGACGCGAGTTCATATTCAGACTTTGCTATCGTATCGAACAATCAAATAATGTTTATAGAAAAAGTATACATAGTTTTTTTCTTAAGTACATGACGAGTAAAAATCTTGGAAAAATATCGAGTCTGTTGGTATTTAATCATTTTATGATGTTTTGTTTTTGCAAATATGGTTTTTGCGACAATAACATTGGCCGAGTCTATTAACAACAGAATATTTTCACAAGTAACTCAACAGACGCTATAATTGTTTTTTTTAACTAGTAAAATACATTTCGTTGAATAATTATCTTATTTGAATAATATTTAATAATATTGTAAAATTAATATTAATTTTCATTCGATTTCTCTTATATTTCATTCCAATTAAATACTAATTATATATGTTAATATTTTGTTCTTTATAACAATATTGTCATCTAATACATACTCATTTTTATTAATATTGAAATGTTTCCGAATTTGGTATAGTATTAATTCATATTTTCGTTTTAATAGCTGTATTGAATAATAAATCAAGTAATGGACTATTAATCATATGTTGATAATGAAAATAATAATAATGAAGAAATCTGACGATGTTGTTATTTAATTATTAGTTAAATTAATTGTACACATGGATTTATCAACATTATTCATTAAACATAAAATTCTCCAAATCACTAAAAACATTATTATATATACATTTTTTAATCTTTTTTCTTTATTGATTAATACATACTTGTACATGAATAACAAATTGTTGATCTTGATGTGTATAGAATAGATATGTCGATATAAATAAATTTTTATTAAAAAGAAGAATATATCTTGTTTCATTCTTTTCTGTTGTGATAAATCCACCTAACAAAGAAAGATTTTTTCAAACTTCTGTAATGAATTATTTTGATCTAAAATTTTGTTGATATTTAGATATGTTCATCCAAAAAGAATATTATTGTAAAAATTTAAGTGTTTAAAAACTTCCATTGTGTTGTTTTTTTCGACAGTTTATGAAATTAAATCAACTTTTTTAACATTAAGTATGTCTACTTAAGTAATAGTTCGTCTGATGTAATATATTTTGTATTTTATCATAATAAATAAAATAATTATACATAAATGTTGTTATTGATTATCATTAATAAAAATAAACAAAACAATTTCATTTTCATTCCAAATGAGATACAATCTAAAAAATTCATAAATGAATCATTATGTATGTTAATGTTAACAAGAGAGAAAGAAAAGAAAAAAGAAATATGTGTGAAAAGAGGAATTTTCACTTTGCTTTTTCTGTCTTTCTCTCGTCCATCAATCATTGTTCATGTTGTTATCATTGACGATCAATGATCAACACGTACAATGAAATATGTATATCATTTTGGACGAGAGAAAAAAATGATTTTTCAAGGTATAAATACGAATGATTTTCTATGTAAAATCATTCAAATTTTTGAATCAAATAATAATCATTTTTCTTTTCTGTTTTAGATTGGCTTCAACCAAACAATATGAAACAATTCAACAACAAACCAGACAATAAAATGAAATGTAGGTATTAGTTTTACTTTTTTTTTTCTTTTTTTTTCTTTTACGATCATAAGGATGGTAGGGTAAGGCCTCCTTTGATCTTTTTATTATTTTATTTTAGGGAATAAACAATGAAGAAAAAGATAACATTAGGGTAAGTCATCTCATTCTATTTCATTAAATAACATTGATTAAATTTTTTTTTCTGTTCCTTTCAGCTATCAATATCATCGCGTCATCAATATCAGACACGGTAAGTAATTTTTTTTTTTTGAGATGAGAATAGGTAGTGAGATTGAGGGGTTAGGGTGAGACTAAGAAAAGTGAGTGTTAGTGGGGGAGGGGTGAGTTATGTTCGTTGAGGTTAGGTTCTTCTTATTTACAGGACTTCCGGACAGTCCCTAAAAGCTCGGCCAGGAATCGTCTTGGTGTCCGTGGTACACGACCAGGCTTATTCAGACTCATTGACATATCTCTCGCGGGGAGGGTATGAATGATATGAGTCTGTCCTGTGCGTGCATGAGCGTTACGCTCGCCACGGCTCCACCAGGATGGTTCCTGGTCGCGCGCGCGAATAGAATAAGCTATTCGTTTCATCAATCCAATGCGATTTATTTGAAAAGAAAGGAACGCAAAAAAATAACAACCCATCGTTTTGAGTCTATTCAATTGAAAAGCGTTGAACACGATTATTCTCATTATCGACGACATAGAGATTGCCATGAGGATCGAAGGACAAACCTCGGAGATAGTGAAACTGATTTGCTCCTTCTCCTTCACCATTTCCACCCACAATGACAGTGCCCTGTTTCGCTCCTTTAGGCCAACGCATCACTCGATGATTCCCATAGTCTACCACATAGATGGTACCCAATGTATCGACAAATAGTCCTTCAGGATTCGACAATTGTGTCAGAGCATTCCCATAGCCTTGACCTCCAGCGACGACAATTCCTTCTTTTGCACCTTTATTCCATTTCATCACACGATGATTGTCTCT